AATCCCAATAAACAGCTGAGTATTGTCACCAATCTTAATGCCTCGGAGAAGCATTTTGGACGCGCAAATAGCTTCATCACTTCTCCCTCTTTCATAAAGTATTGCTCGACTCTCGTTACTCAGACAAAATGTTTTCCTTTTTAATCTCCAGCCGATCGAACATCTAAGGTATTCAAAAGATAATTAACATTTTTCTTGCAGTTTCTTACTAATTCTTACGTCCAACACAATTACAAGAAAGAATTAATTACACTTGCTTTGTAATTAAAATGCATATTACTATAAATAACTAAACAACGTATATAAATATTACACACACGGTAAATATCATGCAATGTGCTGTACTTAGCGATGTGAAAACGATTTATAATTACATTAGATTGGGACGCGATTCACTATCTTGCTTGCTCTCCGTTTGTACTCGTCTCTCTGTAGTTCGCAAATCAATGATTCACCTTTTGGTGAACGAAGGAGTACATAAATGATTATTATGAATTATGAAGAATGGGGATGTACTAAATGAACGTGCGCAAACGAGCTCTTGAAGTGACCTTTGAAGTAGTCACAATATATATATCTACATACAATATAAGAGGCACTTCTGTCAGCGAAACGATAAATAACTTATACTCACGTGTGCGCAAGGATCTCTTTATTCATTATCCTAATGCAAGTAACGTTATAACATGCTATCGAAGATTCGCGACAATATATTGCTAAAGAAAAATAATTACTAGCGAAAGATTATTGGCATATATGATTCTTAACCCTTGAACATCACACTATTTCCCCTACTGGGGGATATTAATAATATAATCATCACATGTCTTTCCACCAAGTTTCTAATTCCCCCAGTAGGAGAAAGGACAATTGAAAGTATATTATAATAAATATTTATATATTTCGTTATGTTAATTTAAGTACATGTATATTACGTTATGTTTAAGTATACAATAAAATTGAAAGTATACAAATTGCATGTACAACAGCATACACAAGTACAAATGTACAAGTACAAGTATGCAATAGCAACAATGTAACAGTGTGGTGGTTTTTAAGAAATATCTTTTTAAATCTTATTTTTCATTAATAAATAAATAGATGCGATTATTATTGCGTCATATAACCATTATACATATTTATCATTTTTATTTCCTAATAAAACTTCGTAAACATTTTATAAGTTCCTATGTCATTTTATATACATTAGGCATATATTTTTCATGAATCGTATATTTCACGCACGAATGGCTCACTACTTATATGGAATATACAGTAAAAATACAAGAGTTTCAAAGTTATTTTTTAAATAAAAAATAAATATTTTGGATTTCCAATACTTTTTTCAGTAGTAGATATCTTTTGAACTAAGGGTGAGCACACACACAAACGAAAATTCCGACGGGGCATTCGTGAGCAATCGATGAGCAAACGAATGCAAAAAAAAAATTCGATTTTTTTAATTTTGGGGGGCTAGTGTGAAATTGGCCCCCCAAAGTTTATATTTCGTATATCTTTTGAACTAAGAGTGAGCAAACGAAAATTCCGACGGAGCATTTGTGAGCAAAAGATTAGCAAACGAATGCAAAAAGAAAATATTTTTTAATATTGTGGGGGGGCCAGCTTCACACAGGTAGAAATGTGCAGCGAAGACGATAGATCAATAGATCGCTATGTGCGTTCATTACATATCATTTAAGAAATCCAAAAATATTGAAGAAATATCCGATTAGAACATGCTATTTTCTCTCAAAAAACGTGATCTCTTTTGCATATCCCCCCCCCCCCCACGGAGAATTTTTCACATTACCTACTTGAGAGGACTAATTCCTAGAAATAAAATTGACTAATGCAAAGACAAACTAAAGGAAAATCAGAGAACTGCGATAAATTAAAGACAAGCGTGAGAATTGTCTTTGTTCGTAATTTATTTCTTGTCGAATATGCAATGTGAAATGCAGTCACACCTAATAATCGATTACTAATTTATACATCGCGCAAACTATACCATAGAAAGCGATATATCCAATGCCATATATCCAGTATACGAGTAAGAACAACGCTCGCGTAGAGTAAGCAGACGGGATAATTTACGAAATTCCGAATATAATGACATAATATGCATTTTTCACGAACATTTCGTCATAACGGACACTATAAATATAATAAATAATATTACCACGATAAATATAGTAGGAGAATAAAACTGATCCAGATATAATTTTTGATAGTTCTTCTATAATTCCATTTCCTCCATGATTTTTTTGAACATCAGGATCATCATTGCCGTCTTTCTACAAAAGTTAAAAAATAACATTCGCATTTCTCTATCGATTCGAAGACGAAAAGATCGCGCAAAACTATGTTTGCTTGATTAAGTTTGGTACTCTATTTTTAGAGTTGAATAAAGAGCTTATATTTATAGCATATAAAAATTAATTTTTTTTTAATTAGACTTTATATTTCAGAATTCTTGCATGCGGATATGTCAGTTTCTACGGCAATCTCTTAAATTAAGTTACCTTTCTTTTCAACCAGCCGCACAGGATGAGGAGTAACGTCAGACAGATGTCGGTATAGAGGATTACTTAAAATGTGAAGTTACCTTGAATTCGTCTTGTGCAAATAACAAATACTCAATCGATAGCTTCATTAAAGCGTAGATCATCAGACAAATCAATGAGTAGAGGAAACCAGGTCGAAAAACTTCGATTATATGAGTATTTTATGAGTATTATATGAGTATATGAATATTTGAAAATCTTACTTATACTTTTTCCTAAAGATCACAATTCAGAAACTGTGATAACTGGTTCCGTATTCCTCTACGCAATTTGAACAGTCTGCTTCGCTTGCTGATCCAAATTCGCGTATCGATGACATTTACCACTAACATCGGCATGATCATCTTCATATAGTCCTTTGCTGGAATATCTTCATGGATGACCGCAGGACACTGTCATAGATACGACCCGAGATCTCGATAACGACGAACAACAACGCTCTTTGCCATCGACTACACATACGAGCACTTCGTGGTCAAGGAATGAACGATGAATATCATAGCTAGGTTACCTGTTCCACACACATGCGACCAGTGGTAATACTAAATATCACCTCTGATAAAGGTGAGCGATCAAAGTAATCGAACAGGTAGCGGCGGTGAAGTGATCAACGCGCGATCCAAGTAAACGATGGTCGCGATGCCTCATAAAACGTCTCAAAGGATTTATTTGCACGTCTTATATACCTAATCAATATCAGTACCTATGAACGTATTGCATATATACATATATGTAAATAATCGTCCACGCCTTTTTTTCATTTCCACTGCGAATACGTCGCGGAATTGCAAAATTTTTTAAATTTCACTCCCTTAAATTATCGAAATATTAAATAATGTATTTGTGGACAAATTATAGGCAGATTGGAACAGATATTTATTTTAAAAAATTGCAATTACTTTTAATTTTTTTAAGGAAGAAGATCAGCATGACATGATAATAAATTTTCTACTTGTTTTATTATTTTTACCTGTCCTTGTTAGTAATAGCTTTCTGCAACAAAGAAATCAAAAGAGAAATGTAATCTCTTGATTAAAACTTTTTCAGTATTAATTTAATTATTTTTAATTATATATTGCGAAACATTGTCTCATATCACGAGATGTTTTAAACAAATTTTTTAAAGATTATAGCGAACTTCATTAATTGATATTAATTTGTGAAATGCTGAATAAGCACGATAAAATTTTAATTATATAATGATGAAACAGCTATATTATATTATACTATAGTGTTAATGATAAATTTAAATGATTACAAGACAGGCTGTGCGAACTAAGCGACAAATACATCGGATTTCCGTGATCTCATAATGGATGAATGCTCAAGAGACTTCATTGGCAAGATCGATATGTGCGAAGTATCAAGCTAAGAGCTATCTTATTAACGATAATGCAAGGGTTAAAAATGCAAGATTGTGTAACTGATATTTGTAAAAAAGAGAATTGATATACAATAAAAATGATTTTTAATAGATATTAGACAAAATTATTCTGTAAATTGTTGTATTAATTTACAAAATAATTTTGTAAATTTCTAGAACATCTTTGTGTATTTAATATCGTCACAAAAGTTATACTTTATGGCGTATTTACGACAATTACAAGTAACTAGTGTGCATATTGCAAAAAACTTCACGTTTGAGAAGTCGTACTCCGCTATATAGATCTCGGGTACTGCATACAATAATATCGTAGCATAAAGGGAATTGAGTATTTAGCGAATATGAAAATGGAACTGAGAATATTTAATTACTAACACACACATTTCTTCGAGGTCTATGCTTATACCTACTATCACGTTATGTTTTTATATTCAGTACAAATTTCTTCATTGTGGTTGACATTTGCAACCACATAGTCGACTTTTCCAAGTTGAAAAAGTTGAATATCTAGAAATGAATTATTGTTGTTTCGTTATATAAATTTATCAAATTATGATTGATTCATCATATGATTATCATATTATAATTGATAAAATTTGACATCGTTATATTAAATAATATGTTAATTTCCTTTGTATTTGTAAAAAGTTTGATCTGTAATATTTACAAAAATACAGAATAGGGACAAATCTATAGTACAATCCAAGATAGAGGATGATTCCTTGTACAAGAATAAGTCAAAATTGCAGATTAAACTTTTTTCATCGGAGCCTTAACTGATGCACTAAAGATTTGTCCTTATCCATAAAATAGATACGTATGACGCTGGTATCGTTCATAAAATTACGATGAATAAAATTTTATTCTAAAGATTAAAGGAAGATATTTATTAAATATTTTATAAAATGCTGCACTATCACTTTATTTTACGAGCTTTTATTTTTATGACACTTTGAGACAATTTTTTGATATACAGTATCTGTTAATTCTCCCATAATTTAAAAGATTCTAAAAGATAATCATCATTTAATAATAACAAAAATTTTTTACAATTATTCATCTAATTGCACATTATCGTTCAATTCCAGCGAATGACTCATTTGTATCATGATAACTACGTAGGTCGATACACTTTTCAAAATCTGTAAAGAGAAGTGTAAATGTAATTATAGAAATTTTGTCGTCTTGTTTGAGAATCACTGATGTAACAGCGTTTCTCTTTCTCTCTTTCGGATGGAACAATTTGATACAAACCGAGCTTAAGATACGATTATCCAGAGTTATACCATAAACAAAGAATGTCACCTGACTTTGTAAAATTTGAATACTGAACTGTTGAATCTGAAATAATTGAGAACAATAATTATTTTATACAGCAACAATAATTAATTATATTATATATAACAATATAATAGCAAACAAACTTCCTCCTGCATATCAGTATCTGCGTCGCATCCATAAATAGCGTGAATGATTTCAATGGTTTTGTTTGCCTGTAAGTAAGTGTTAGCTTAATTATAAAATCTATAATTAGTATTAGACAATGATGTGGGCGAGATAAATTACCTCATTAGTGGCATTCTTGCAAACGCAACCCAAATAAATGGTTTTCAAAATGCTCATAAAACTGAATGCTAATATCAAAATTGTTTGCTCTAACAAAGCTTTATACTGCTGTGTAATGTATCGAATGTAGAAATAGTAAAGTGATCCAGTGAGAATTACAATAATTTCTCCTATCTCCCAAGCTATCTGTACTCCGAGGATAGTGCATACCATTTTTGTTATTTTACACAACTCCAAATGCACCTGTCTTAAAATCATTCAAAAATAATTAGGAATATTTTTATTTAAAGAAAAAACTCTTTTGTTTCTTAAAACAGTTTCTAAAAAAATCTAACTTAAATATTCTAAATCAGAAAAGAATCCAAAAAACCCAGAGCGAATGAGAGTCAGTACGCAAAGTTTAATCTTAAAACTTCATTCCATGAATCCAAATAATCTTTAAACGTTTATTATTATATGAATTTGTTATTGTATTGCTGAGAAGGACTCCAAAGCGAGTCAAAACGTACAAAGATTATTTGGATTTATAGAATAAAGTTTTAAGATTAAACTTAAGAAGATTAAATATTCTAAGCGTTATGCAGAGAATATTGTTGAATATCTTAATGATTGACTTTGAATATATATTATTCATATCACTTTAAATATTATCAATTTTTACTACAGAAAAATGTTGTAAAGCTAATTGCAATCTATGTTTCAAATATATTTTTTATAGAATTTATTTCATAACAATGTATTTTATAATCTCTGTACTCACTTGATTATCTGTAACAGATGTTTACGTTCCTGACATTTTGCCATCGTGGCACTGTGTCTTCGAGATCGATTTTGGTGTTTACTTTGTAATTGTTTTTTGAACTGAGGTGGAAGGAACTCAGTTCCAATTTGAGATACGAGCCGATTTTTATTCTCCTCTGACACAAAAACGTTCGTTCGAGACTGCTTTCGCCGATGTAATTGAAACATCATATTCTTCGAAAAAATATGCTTCTTTTGTTCGACATTCATAATTTTGGCATAATCTTCTAATTCAAAAATGCCCAATTTTATCTCTTTTGTTGATAAATTTGTTAATTTCTCGCATAAAAGCTGGTTAATTAATTTGAATTTCGTTTGTAAGCACCTGCATTGTTATAATAGTATATTAAGTGTATTTTTGAAAACTCTTGTATTTTTTTCTGTCTTATCTCTCTATCTCTCTTTTCTTCTAACTTTTTTTGTATATTTTTTCACAATTATATAATAAATTAAAATTCATCTGCTAACGATACAAAACACAGTTACAGAGAAAATTATATATAAAATGTTTGTGAACTGATAGCTAGTACAACTAGTAAAAGGATTTTACAAAAAAATAAGCGGAAAAATAATATAAAATTTTTAATGAGATTTTTTTTCGAGAAAATCGATTTTAAAGATTCGTCGGATACGGTGCTTTAATTGATAAATTAAAGAAAACGATAGAAAGCATTCACAGAAATTTACTTTGAAGAGCAGAATTGTATATTCAACAGAATGGCCAGCACTTTTAAGAATTTATGAAGTAATAAAATTTATCGTGCGTGAATATTCTGCTTTTATTGTGTATTCTCGACTAATACAATAATGAACACAAGCATGAGCAGAAATAAAAATTTATAGTGTGATCTATTAAGTCGAGACATACGTAATTAAGTGCACATGTATCCGGCGGATAATTAAAAATGATTTTCTCAGAAAGAAAACCTCATATGAAAATATTATATTTTACGCTTTCGATTTATTTTTTCAGGTAGAATTGCTTCTTTCTGGCATCAACAATTCACGTACATATATATTAATACATATACTGAGAAAAAATTGCCTAAATTTAAATAAATATTTGAATGCTACCAACTAAACATTTACTTACAATAAGTAAATATTTACTTAATAAAAAGAAGTGATTGTTAAATCAAATTAATGTTTTTTGTACCAAATAAAGATATTTTTATATTTAATAAATATTTACTTGGTACTATTCAAATAAATATTTATTGAAATTTAGTTTTTTTTTCTCAGTGTACATAATATCAACGATAACGTTATGTATAATAAGTTATGTTAAGTAAAACATGGATTATTAATTTTTACTTAAGGATTCGTTAGTGAATATATCCAATAAACATATGTATACTTAAACTGGATTATTTAGAATCAATTTACATACTTTACAAATATGTAGAATTCGAAGACGGTAATACCGTTGACAGTCAACGAATACATGTATATTAACATAATGTGAATTGCAGTAAATGTGTCCACACGTTTCTTTAAGTGAGAAAAAGATACAATATTCATAATGAGATAGACTATAATCCATATAATTATTATTCCGTTCGTCACAAAATATATCCCATTATAATTCACCGACAATCCAAGCTGTCGCAATGTTTCATCAATCTCGAAGATCTTTTTGTAACAAACCTTAAATTTCTGCACATGAAAATATATATTTACAATAAAATATTATTCTAATTTATACAAATGCATAATTTTTTCTTAAAATTATATTATAAAGTTTGTAAATAAGCGGTATAACAATCGTTTATAAGACATGTTAGTATATCGTTTGCTCACCTTCGTATGCCACCAGCCTAGTAACATCTTGAGAATCACAGATACAATAGTAATGTACGTCAATACTTCGTATAGGATGTATTCTAGCTTCATTAGTTCAATATTTGAATTGTATTTTCTTTCCAAATACAATGAGCTACAGCTATATGCACCACATATAAAGAAAAGATAGATCAGACTGAGTATAGGTCTTGAATAACCACGAGGATACTCAAAAGCACGAAGTCCTAATAAACAGTTGAGACTTGTCATCAATGCTATCGCTTCGGAAAAGCATTTTGGACGCGTAAATAGCTTCATCTTGTCAGATCCCTTTCTTTTATATAATGTTCCTCGACTGTCATTTACTCAAACAAAGTCTTTGTTTTTAATCTGTAGTTGCTCGAACACCTAAGCTATTAAAAGCAAAGTACTATTTCTCCCAGAGTTTCTTGCCGTTCTCGCGTCCAGTATTAATTACAAGGAAGTGTTAATTCCAGCAGTGTGTATTAATTGCTACGTAATTAAAATAATGTATAATTAAAACTAAATAATGTATAATTAAATAAAACTAACGTATAAGTATTACTTATACGTATAACGTATGTGAAAATATCACGCAATGTGCTATACTTGGCGATCTATGCAAAAATATGGTTGATTATTATGTTAAATCAAATCACGACGCTATTCACTGTTCTTCGCTTTTTTCTTTCTTTCTTTCTTTACTCTATTTGCTCTCCTTTTCCCGCAATTCACAAGTCAATGATCAACTTTTAATGAATAAAGGAGCACATATGAGCTCATAAACGATTATTATGAAGAACGCAAGTGTACTAAACGAATATGCGCAAACAAGCCTCCTATCATAGTGATGGCTATTGAAGCGATTCTATAGTATATGTAACTATAAAAAGAATTAACTCTCCCCGTGAACCAACGAGTAATTAGTTGTACAATCATGCGCACAGGGATCATTTTTTATTATCTTGATACAGTATAATATCATAAGGTGTTATTCGGGATCTATAGCAACACGTTTCCGGAAAAAGATAATTGCTGGCTATTGTTGCAATGCATGATTGTTGCTGAGTATGCAGATGCATGAGGAATATACAGTGAAGTTAATAGATCGCTATACATTTGTTATATAAATGGTTCAACGAATCCAAAAACAGATTTAAAAAATATCCAACTAGAACGTGCTATTTCCACATAAAAACGCTGCAATTTTTGCGTAAAGACTGTTATGTCCATGCGGGGAATTTTTTATATTATCTTGAGAAAACCTGTTTCTAGAAAATAGTTAATCAATGAAATGGCAAACTGAAGAAAAAATTCGGAGAACTGCAACAAATTAAATACTACAATTGCATGAAAATTCTCTCTTCACTCGTAATTTTTTTCTTACTGAATAAATAATATGTGATACGGTTATAACTCATAATTCATTACTAATTAAAACATTGAGTATACCATGATATGTATACCATAGAGAGCATCCGATACACACATAAGAACATGTCACGTAGTTTAAGTCGACGAGTCACCGAGATAATTAACGGCAGACATGATAGCGTTTCTGAGTGTATAGGCGTATTTTCCACGAACTTTCCATCATGATTGACCATTATATGATGAATTTATTACGATGAATGTAAAGGAGAGAATCAGATATCATTTCTGATAGTCCTGTAATCCCATTTGTTCCATGATATTTTATCATTATCGTCTTTATATGTTGCGAAAGTTAAAAAATAACATTGGTGTTTTTCTATGAGTTTTTATTTGAAGACGAAAAGAGAGCTAAGACCAAGATAGAACAAGTTTAATAATTTATTTCTGGAGTTCATTAAAGAGCTATTATTTATAACATAAAAATTAATCTTTTTTTAAAGTAAAATTTAGACCTCAAAATTTTCGCATGCAGGAATGTTAGCCTCTATAGGGCAATCCCTTAAATGCCTTCCTCCACAATCAGCCAGAGATGCAGCATAATATTATTTAAGCCGCTGTTGGCGTAGAAAGTTATTTCAAACGTAAAGTTGTCGAGTAAGCTGCATTGCAAAAATTTTATTTTATAGTGTATATTGCATGTCTATTATAATTACAAGCAATTATCGTGCATATCGAAAGAAATACAGGAAAAAGATAATTAAATAATTTACAGATCGTCACATCACCACACTTTATTTTACGTATCTTTTATTTCCATAATAATTTGCGACATTTGTTAGATATACAATATTATTAATTCTTTTAAAATATTTTTATAAAAAAATATTTTAATTAATATATAATCATTTAATAATATTTATAATTCTTTAAAATTGCCTATATTGCACGGAATCGTCCGATTCCAATGTTATGCTCACTTGTACCATAATAACAACATAGATCGTTACAGACTTTAAAATCTGTAAATAAAAAAGTATAAGTATGATGCGTTTGCAATTAAAGATATAAAGTTATAAAAATAATTTCCCTTTTTTTTAATATAAAGAAAATAAATTTTTTTTTTAGTATACATATTTTTATTTGTATGATCTTTGTTGTTTTATATAATAAACGCTTCGTATTATATACAATAACAACGTTTCGTATGCAATAATTTGATACACACCATGGTCAAAACACGATGATCAAGAGTAAGACCAAATACGGAAAATGTTACTGGACTTTGCAAAATTTGAATACCAAACTGCTGAATCTGAAACAATTTTGATGGTAATTCTACAATACATTAGCATAAGAGTAATCGATTATACACTTACTCGCAAAAAAAGCGGGCCACTGTATAGTGGCTCATTTCTTTTTGCGGATTTTTGAATATATTTAACAATATAGCAGTAAACAAACCTCCTCCTGCATATCAGTATCTGCATCGCATCCATAAATTGCATGAATAATTTCGATGGTTTTATTTCCCTACCAATAAATATTAGTTTAATTATAAAATCTATAATTGTAGACACAATAATAGATGAGAAAAATTACCTCATCGGCCGCATTTTTACAAATAAGACTCATAAAAACGGCTCTGAAAATATGCAGAAGAGACAATGACAACGTCAAAGTTGTCTGCTCTACCACACCTATAATTTCGTGCTGATGCATAACGTATCGAGCAAGTAAGTAATAAAAAGCTCCAGACAAATACGTGATAATTGATCCTATTTCCCAAGCTACCTGTACTCCAAGGATAGTGCATACTATTTTCGATA